CCGCATCAAGGTGCGTGCACGCTCGACGCGGCTCCCGTGCCTGCAGGTGGGGTAGTACTGACCCACCGACCCACCGCGGGCGAGCAGGACCTGCCGGCGTGGGTGTTCCATGGCCGCAAGGATCCCGTGGTGCCCTTCGATGACTCGGTGAAGATGGTGGAGGCCCTGCGCCAGGCCGGCGCCACCCACGTCAAGTTCACCGAGTACGAGGACACGGCCCACGACGCCTGGACCGGTGCGTGCCTGAGTTGATCTCGTCTTGGCCAAGAGATAGGCGCGGCATGCTCATATCCTCCTCCTCCTCCCCCCCCCGATGATCCGCTCCAGATACGTACGACAATCCGCTGCTCTACGACTGGTTCCTGCAGCACCGCCGCAAGGAGGAGGCCCCGCCCCAGTAGACCCTCCCTCCCCCAATATGGATGGATGGATGGATGGATGGATGGATATAAATGAGGGAGATGGTGGTGGTGAAGATGAAGATGATACATTGCCTTGCATTGCGTGGGCTCTTCTGGAAGTGCACTCACTGTTATGTGCCGTACGGGGTCATGTTCGTGTCCGTGACTGTGCCTGTGGCCGCCCAATGAGTTCACGGGGGCGTGGACGACGGGACCGCAAGAAGAAAAGGGGGGGAAAGAGGCGGAGGCGGAGGTGCGCACCAAATCCGATGGAAAGGCGAAAGGCAGAGCTGAGGGTGGATCGGTCGGTGAGGTCGATGCCGTCGTCGTCCCGGTGCTCCGTGGCCGGCGGTCGGCTTGCTGTCGTTTCTGCCGGCACTTGCTGAAAGGCCAGCTGGTGCGGGGTCCTGGCATCACAGCAACCCGTCAGCGCGCTCCTTCATGAAAACCGGCCGCAGCAGCTTCCCCGACCCTGTCAGTAGGCCTTCTAGAAAAAGAAGGAACTGGCCAGCTGTGCCGTGTCGTGGGAGGAGAGGAGGAGGTAGGCGCACGAGGCAAAGAGAGGAGATGGCCGCGAGGGTGAGTCCCGGAGGAAAGGGTGGCCCAATAGCTCCTTCGCACTCGGACGCTGGGTGGGATCCCTGGTGCACCCCCCAACCCAACCCCCCCCCAAAACCAACCAACGTTGCAACGATGAGGCGCGGAGGAGGCGGAGAACAAAGAGTATATAGCCGAGCCTAGCATGCGAGGGGGGGAGGGGGCCACGTGTACCGTGTGAAGCAGAGGCTCAAAAAGTGTCGGGCGTCGGCAGAGAGGAAGGCGGGGATGGTGGGCACGGCGTCCGGGGAGCCCAGCTTGAAGAGGGCCGCCACCGGGACCAGGTCTGCCCAGGGCGGCTGCCCTGTCGCCATCTCCACCAGCACGGCCCCCACCGACCTGGTGATGTTACATATACCCGCCACCGCCACCGCCACCAGCCACCACCGGCCATCATTAGAAAACAGTGCTTTGGCGGCAAGGCGCCCCAATCAAAGGAATATATACATTCATTGGCGGGGGGGGGGTGCGTTACCAGAGGTCAGCCTTGCGGCCGTAGGGCTTGCCGAGGACGACCTCGGGGGCCTGCGCATCCACACCCAACCCACCCACCCACCCACCCAGCCACCCACCACCACGAGAATGGTGAGCGCTGGGGGGGGGGGGTGGAGGGGTGGAGAGTGGTGCGCTCAGGGGGGGTGGGTGTGGTGCTACTACGGCATGGTACCATGTAGTGCGGGGTGCCGGTGAGGGTGGTGCATCCCTGGGTGAGGGACACGATGTCGACCTTCTTGGAGCATCCGAAGTCGGCCAGCTTGAGGGTGCCGTCGGGCGCCAGCAGCAGATTGGCCGCCTTCAGGTCTCTGCGGCCATGACGATGATGATGATGATGATGATGGCGATGGCGGATTGGGTGGGTTGGACGACGAGAGGCGAAATATCAAAAGGAGGCAGTTGGCGGCCACTACCACCACCACTACTCTTAAGGAGGAGGAGGAGGAGGAGGAGAAGGACCTGTGGGCAAAGCCGTGTGCGTGCAGGTAGGCCAGCCCCTCCAGGATCTGCCGCACCAGACCCGCCATGAGGGGTTCGCGGCATCTCCCATATCTGCACGCAGGTGCCCCGCAACCGAGGTGGCGGGCGGGTGGGCGGGCGGGCGGGTTGGGCGGGTTGGGTGGGTTGGGTGGGTTGGGTGGGTTGGGTGGGTTGGGTGGGTTGGGTGGGTTGGGTGGGTTGGGTGGTGGGTAACAACGTTATTGGTGGAAACCATCGTCATTGTCATCGTCATTGTCATCGTCATCATCGTCATCACCATCGTCGTCATCATCCGAGCAGTGGTGGAGAGAGGGAGATCGTGGGAGGCATACCTGCGTATGAAGGCGGCCAGGGATCCGCCAGGAATGAGTTCGATGAAGATGTGCAGATACCGCGAGGTCGTGGCTTCGTCGTGCCCCACCTGCGCCCCCAGGTACCGCACTGCGTACAACAACAACAACAACAACAACAACAACAACAACAACAACAACAACAACAACAACAACAACAACAACAACAACAATTTAATTTAGGCGCCCCGAGTAGAACAGGGACGCCAGCCACGGCACGCAGCCCCCGGTGTTTTGACGGCCGAGTGGGGGG